GAGCCGAGGTCGAGGCAACACCTGTCGCACCAGACTTGTTGAAATGGAAAGTGGAGAGCAAAGTCGCTGGAGGAGAGGCCACCGATGTGAAACACGCTGCTCCGTAGCCAATCGATCGTGTATCCAGGGTTAACCTTCGCTTCGCTCTCAGAGTCTGACTCTTTTTGCGAATAATCATTAGGCAGGAAAGCAACCCTTTCGTACTCGCCTATTTGTTTCCGTATGATGTGTATGTGTGTGTGTGTGTGTGTGTGTGTGTGTCTAATAGGAAGACACATGGGATACTGAAGATTGTTCATTGCTTCTGGGAATAATCAAACTAAAATAGGCAGAGAAGAGCTAGAAGATAAAAATAACAATTATTTCGAAATTTCATTCTGAAATGGAGCCTATCGGGGGGGAACGAATTCAACGAATTCGTAGCATGAAATAACCGGCCATCAATTTCAAATTCAACGCCGAGCGTACTCGAGTAGGTCATTAAGTTAATTGTACAACTCTGTTTAATCGCTAGAACGTATATTCTGCGAGCGTGCGCGGAATAGAATATTCAACAGCCTGAAAATAACTTCGTCCCTTGATAGCGGATCGCTAACCCAAATAGGTGAACTTTGAGTTCCAAAGTGTATTAAAAGACTAAGCTATATGTGTATCGGATCTATAACGGATCGAAGACAGAATCAGAACAACTATTTCCACGTACGCAGATTATTTCGACAGCCGTTCCGATCGAGTGTAACGACCATCTTCGGAACGGATTTCTAAGATTTCTTTGAAAACTGACGAGGGCTATTAATTCTCTTGTTCTGAACGCCAGGCGGACACGTTTACTTCGACTCACATCAACTGACTGGCTTTACGACCACGCTGTATCACGTACCATCTAACACTCAATCTCAGTGCACCACGGTACAGCAATCTGAAACTATCCACTCGACACCTACAGCGTCGTCGTCTCATCCTCCAGCCCCTTTGACTAGGCTACGAAACGTTGAACATCCACCCGTATACTTCTCGCGAACGATCGAAGCCAAAGGGTCTCGAAAGCTTCGTCAACTCGCATCGGCGACGAATCTTCCGAACCAACACCTCCGGTTCAACTCCGAGTAACGACCTTAAAGGATACTTTTTCGCATTTTTGTGTACAGGGTGGGAAAAAAAGTTTGTCCGTGGCTCATCATAGATGAATTCTATACGTTCGACTTGATTGATGGAAATACGTGTAAAGAGAAATCTGCAAAAATTGAACTTGACCTTGAATTTCAAGATCGAAACTTCATTTCTGTATTTTACTCATCACGAAGGTAAAAGTCTTCTGAAGAATATAGTTGAAATGTTTCTTAATTTAACACCGCAAACGCGTGCGTTCTAACAGCGACTTTATGGTTCTGAACGCGTTTCTTATTTCGAATAACGTTAACGGTTAGTCTTATTGATTATCTAGACTCACATTGATGCTAAAACTCTGACAAATCAAATGTTAGCGGAACTTAACAAAAATTATGGACATCCAGAATCATAAAGTCGCTGTTAGAACCCACGCGTTAGCAGTGTTGAATGATTAAGAAATTTTTTTGTTATTTTTCAAGAGAACTATTGCGACCATTTATCTTTGCGATGAGTAGAATACTAAGAAAAAAAGAGATCAATTTTGCGGCAGGATTCTTTACATCAAATTGAAAGTGTAGGTTAGTTTTATTGATTATCTAGACTCACATTGATGCTAAAACTCTGACAAATCAAATGTTAGCGGAACTTAACAAAAATTATGGACATCCAGAATCATAAAGTCGCTTTGATTCTTTACATCAAATTGAAAGTGTAGGATTCATCTATGATAGCAACGGGCAAACTTTTCTTTCCATCCTCTACAGGCTGTTTCAAAACGAGTGTTGCGGTAGATCGTGTCGAAAAGAAAAAGGAGACAGAGTACAACTTTTTCGA